GGGGAACAAGTAAATTAAAAAGGTCTTCTGTTCCTGCATGTGCCATGAAAACAGAAATTCAACTAAGTATTTAGGCTAATGTATTTCTAGAATCCTGACTTCTGGTTTCAGTAAAGTGTTTCAGTTTTCAAGCACAAAGATCAATAGAAAGTTAGGAGCCCTGATAGGATTTAGGAGTCCCAGCATCTATTTGGATGTGCTTCAGCTCTCCCAATGCTGCTTCTGTTTAGATCAATGGTTAATGCCTCTTGATTCCAATGAGGTAAAATCTGCTTCAGTGTTCCTATGTGATCATGAGCAAGCCACAGAAAATAACTTTTTTGCTGGCATGAGTAATTTCTGGTTAGTTTCAGGCAGCTCTCTTCTGGGGACAGTAAATGAAGTGTTACTGAAGTGTACTGTGACCCAAGTTGAGCAGTGAGAAGGGATGTGCTCTTTATGGTTTGACTTCAGTCTTTGTTTATCATCTTGTATACGGAGATTTGCCACTAACACTTCTGAGATGATTAAAAAACTTCACTTATGGACATTGTAGAAGTGGATTGTTTCTTATAATCTAAATGGTAAGTGAAGACAAAGGTATAGGAAATGCACATTGAATGATATGGAGGGAAAGAAATATTGTCCATCCAGCCATTCTGTAATCATCATCTATCCTTGCAAGGTCTTTATTAAACTTGCCCTCTCTTGACAATGTCAACAGTCAAGATTACTTCCCAGTGCTCTGATCCCAACTATTGACTTCCAGCTAATGCAAAAGAGTACATTGTCTTTTTTTATATGATACTTTCCAGTGCAAATCTTCTACTGTCTTCATCTTGATGCCTTTATAAATCTTTCTTCTGGTTGCTGTTTTTCCAATTTGTGTGGTTGAGAGATAGTAATCAGTCACCATGAATTTAAGGTCCCATGATTAATCCTTCTTTGACAGCAGACTTGTGGATTTACTTTAGATCCATTGACTTCAGTCCTGAGCTGCAGTTTTCCCACCACTTTTCCTGCAGCTGACTCAGTTTGGGCAGGTGGCCCAAAAGAGAAGGGATAAAATTGGCTGTGTAGCTTCCATGAATAAAGGTACCAGAGATTAAAACTGATGATATAGTATAGTTAGTATACTACATGGTGTATAATTTATTACCAACTGTCAGCAGTTTAGATTTCCATTTACTAGTGAATAATTTGTTTTCATTAGTAGTGTTTAAATGACGGTGGGCTCTTATAGCTGGAGTACCACTTACACAGTGGCTTGTTTCTGTCATATAAGCTTCCCTTATATGAAATACCAGAATTACCATCTGCAAGAGGACATTGGAGTGTAGTGTTTGATATGATGGTGTTCCCTGGTTTCCAGCATTGGCTAGTACCTTCTGTCTGAGAGGAGGAAAGGTAGTCATGAGACAACCTGCACCCAAAGAGTACACTCTTTAAATCCTGGTATTAAAGGTTGGTGGTTGCTCAAACTTGAGAGCTTATATATCTTACAAAACTCTTGGAGTTTTTTGTTGTTACTTTTCTTTTGCAGGGCTTACTATTATAACTGGTTAGTCTTCTCACTATAAATACATGTTTTGAAGCTGCTGAGTTTGTGGTATGTTGTATCTCCTGGAAATGTTATATCTTGTTCTGTACACTTTTTTTTTTTTAAGTGTATTTGTGCAATTTTGTATAGACCCTTTTAGTTTTTCTCTTTTCTAGAATCAGATATCTCAGATATGTCTAGATGTCTGTCTTCAGCTAAAAGTTAAGCTGGAATTTTGTCATTAAGGAAATGTACTTACATGAAGATTTTTTTAGAACCCAATTTGTGTGAATAAGTTTGAACTGAGAACTCAGTGCTGAAGTGAAATAGGCTTCTCAATTTGTTAACAGGCTACAACAATTTAACTCCTCTTCACTAAATACAGAGTGAGAGCTCCATGACAGAGGTAAAATTCAGTTTAGAAAAGGATAGAAGACTAATGGCAACGTGAGTAAGGCAGAGACCGTAGGAATGCACTCCACATCTTCAATTGTATTTTACAGAAAATCTCTTCTATTTTAAGGATTCACTTTAAAATGGGAGGGTTTGAACAGTGTTGACCATTGTAGTATTGAAATGCTGCAATGGCACCATGAAATGTGTTGTGAGCAGAGTCTTCATAGCATATTTACAGTGTTAAATCAGTTTCCCAGAAAAATAGACAGGACTGTGTTTTGGTCAGATGGGGAAAGGTGGTGCTAGGAAAAAGCAGTCAGGCCAAAGCTATTACCAACTACCAGATAAGTAGAAATGCTCATTTTGTTTGACATGACTTCTAGTAAACTGTCATAAAAAATGGAGGAAAGAATGAGACACGACAGTGAGTTGATAAGTACTGTGCATCTTCACTCCTCTTCATGTTTGCTGACATGTCCTTGGCAGTGTTGAGCTCTTGTCCACCCTGGCAATCCTAGAAGATGTCAAGAATTTGTTTCATCCTGTGCATGCTCGTGCCCCATGCCCCCAAAGAGCTGGACTATTGCTTGTTTGGAAGATGTGTGTAGGATCTAGACCAGCCTGTAACACCTTTGCACAGTGATCAGTAAAATCCTGAAGGGCCCACAAAATACATGATGCTGTCTCAGTTCCAATCATGGAAGGTAAAAAGCCTTTTCGTGATTCAAGGGAAACCACCTGTTGTCTGTAGTCCTGCGTTTGCAGCCTCTCCCCTTGGCCAATTTAGTGGGCAGGTTCTGTGTGTCTGTGGCACAGAGTGTACAATTGGTTGTCTGTCACGGAGGCTGAGTGCGTCCAGTAGGAGCCATCAGCTCTCTCTGAGCACAGTTACTGCATGTGCAAAGTTGCTGAATTAAAGAAGCCGTGCTTTAAGCAGTCACCTCCCGAAACAGATTCCTTGAGAGAAATTGTTCAGGGAGAAATTATACTTGACTTGACTGTGAAGGAACATGTAGGAGGTCAGTTAAGAAGTAACAATATCTGAGCCACTAAGTAATAATGACTACAGTATAATTGCATTCTGTGCCCTCAGGGACAAAAAGATCTAGAGAATCACACCAGAATTATACAAAGTTGAAGGGAGATTTGAATTGAGTGAAGTGCATTAGCAAGGAATTTTAGTTACGGTATTTTTACTTTTTCTGACAAAGTAATATGGTTATATATTACATGGAAGGTATTTAAGGTTATCAGCAGAAGTCATAAATAGATAATAAAATTAGAATCAGGGCTATAAAAAAGGAAATAACAAAAGTCAATAGGTTACTTATTCAACGAGGGTTACATTACCACAAGAAGAGCAACAGATGACAGCGTGCAGGGAGAGAAGGAGGTATTAATGCGGTTGAGGTGGATTTCTAAGAATAGCTGTCCACTGTTCAGTACACTGAGACGTTCTGTAAAACTGTTTCATTTATTCAAAGCAAAACTTTCAATATTGGGGAAACATTAAAATATAGCTGCATTTACAGATTATTTCAAAACTGATAAAACCGGTTTTCAACTGTCATATGGTAGTATTCTCTTGGGTTTCTTGTTTTATATTAATATATTGCATTACTAGGTGTTTATTAATAATATGGAAATTACCATGCACATACTTAAATCACCATTGTTAGAACTGAGGTTGACAGTGTTGCCCAGTATGAAATAGATAACAAGTAAATATTATTTCATGAAGAAGCAAAACCAGTTCAAGAAATCAATATTTAAGTTGCATTGTAAAATGGTACCCCTGCTAAGGTATCGAGGATTACTGTGCTGTAACTGTGCTTGCATATTTTGAAATGTGTATGTTTCTAATGCTTGTTTTTCAAGGAATGAAATGTTGGAATTAAAACATTCTCATAATATTCAGTATACCTAAGTGATCTTTATTTATCCTTTTTATGGGGACTTGTACTGTTAGCTGTTAAGCTGCTTCTATTATGGTTTGAATTTTTGGAGCCATGCAGTGGATCATTAATCCAGTTGAACATTTTGCAAAAGCAGGGAGACTTACTCTTTTTAATGTTAATGACCTTGGGATGGATTTTGTAGCTCTGCAGTTTGCTTAATTTTCCTGCATTTCCTCCATTAACAAAAGAAGATTGTGAAGTGTCAAAAAGAAGATCATGCAGTAGCAAAAAAAAAAAAAAAATGTTCTCTATGTTAACTTGTATATGGCTGGATATTTAGACAATGTCTAGTTGCAAAGGCAATAAAACGTAAAAATATTTGATTTGTTTATACTGGTTGAATTTAGGATCAAGTAAAAAGAATTTTCAGTTATTCCTATTGTGTTGTTATATTTTCAATTTTGATAGCTTTGTTCAATTGACAATGAAGAGTTAATCCTATCAGCTTCATTGTTTGGGTGAGAAGGGGGAATGGCATAATCCAAATGAAGGAATAACATAGATGTAATTGCTGCTTTTGGTCCTGAGCTGGCTCATGTCTTGACTTGAGCCCTTTTGGATCCTTTGGTTTTTGCAAAGCATTGCTGGCAGTATCACCAATGACAGTGATGCAATTGAGCTAGCTCTGGTCTGCAGGTGCTGCAGCTCCATTCCCACAGTGCTGTGCCTAAGTCAATAAACCATGCTGGGCCTGAATGAAGCAGTTTGAAAACCACTCCTGTGTCTCTGCATAGAGATCATGGTGTGTCTGTAATCCAGGTGACCCAACATAAAAAGTGGAGAATTACTAGTAGTGGCTGTGGAACTGAAAGATGGTCTTCACCTTATTTTGCACACAAAATTAAAAACACTTGGCTGCTGCAGACATGGTGTGAGTTCTACATTCCTATCACTTCTGTATCACACTTGCTCAGTTGTAAAGAGTAAGAAGATGGAAAGTGTTGCTAACTCCTAGTCTGATAGCACTTCTTCAAGACACAGTCTTGTTTAATGCGTTCCTGTTGTTGCTTTATATACTCTTTCATCTGTATTATTAAGCTTAAGTGTAGCAACAGAAAAATGTTGATATTTTGATGTAACAAAACCAAGGTTGTGTTAATGTCTTTTATTCCTTCATTACATTACAGGTACTGTAAGAATTGAAATGTTCAGGAACATGCAAAATGCAGAAATCATAAGGAAAATGACAGAAGAATTTGATGAGGTATAGTACACAAAGTGCTTTAAACATTATGAAAAATATTGCAACATACTTTTGTTTTAAAATAAAAATGCAATGGGTAAGAAACCAGTGGATAAGCAATGTCTCAGTATGAGAAGTTGCACTGACAAGCAGAGCAGCGATTTAAACTGTGGAATGAGCCAGTATGAGCTTTAGGAAAGAATAATAATGGAAAACCAAAAAGTAATAAAATAATTTGAAAAGACAATTATAGTCACTCATCTTAAAAAATCAGGATGTGGATTGAGTAGGCCCTGGATGCTGAAATACTGGTACTGAAAAGTTTGTGAGTTAGCCAGTTTAAGGGCTTAAGTGTACTATCACACAAAAGCGTGGAGCAAGCTCACATCCTGTGCTGTAAGAGAGCCTAGCCAGGTCTGACTCTGCAAGAACTAAGCCTGGGTCTATGCTAGCCCTGGTCGGGATCCATGTAGACCCTCATGTGTCTTTGTATGGCTTTAGGGATATCCTTGTCTGTCCATATCCTGGGTATTAAGGAGGATAATAAGAGGAGGCAGTAAGAAGGACTGTAGAAAGTTTTCTCATCCCTCTGAAATTGGTGGTGGTATTCTGGATTCAGAATTTCACCTCTTGGAACTGCCATCATACAACAGAGAACTCCAGATTCCTGAGACGGGACTGCAGACTTTGCGTTCGCAGCATTGTGCTGTTTTCCATGTGAAAATTGATGTTTTATTAATCTGAAATGGCAATTTAAACCAAATAGGAAGTTGACATCAAAATTACAATTTTGGAATGGTGTTACAGAAAGAAATACACTTTCAAAAGATCTAAGCTTTTTGTTTGAAATGAGTATATTACAATTCAGATGGGGTATCCTGTCAAAATAAAAATGTTCCTAAGCTTTTTAGCTTTGAGATTTTTGAACTGTGTTTTCTTTGATTTTTCATGTATAAAAAACTTAAATGTTCTGAGTGTTCATTTTGTTTGGTGATAAAAACAAATACTGAAACATAATTTTCTGTAGGACAGCACTGTCTTTTTCTGACCAATTCTAAATGGAATGCCAAGGCTGTGATTCAAAAAGCTAAGCAGGAAAACTATAAATATGAGCACTGCTCTTTTTCAGGATTTTCTTCTGCAAGATTTCCATCTTGTTCATGGCTTTGAACATGTTTAACTATGTACTTAACTGTGGCCATGTGGATGCTCCTCTTGCTGTACTCAGGTATCCAGTCAGGGCCTATATGTACAGGTGGGATAGGGTACAGTGAATAAAATTTAGGTGTACAATGATGAACAAAAGGATTGTATCAGTCCATGCTACATTCTGGCTGAACTAGTTTTGCTTTTTAAAACATCACCCAACCAAAGTTAATAAAACACAGTGAATTTTTACTAGTGTAATTTGAAAACAGAATTGGATATTGTCTTTACTCTAGCCCCATTGTACAAAATAGAATGGCCAAGGCACTGTCCAAAAGCCAAAGAACATTGATTTTGCCCAAGGGAGGATTGTCTCACAGTTGACAGAAGAAAGTATTTCTCAAAAACCCCTTTTCAAATGACATCAAAGGTTTTTCTCAAAGGAGAAAAAAACTCCCTTATGCACAGTATAAGTGTACATATAAGCAACACACCTCACAGAATTACAGTTGCTAGTACATAAGCTTTCTTTCTGCATTACTTAAAACTTTTCAGAACTTTTGCAGTTCTAGTAGAAATTTTCCGTTCTACCTTCTGCCTTAAGACTTGAATGGGTTTGTGAAAGAATTTGTGGATTTTAATATAAAAGCATAAAGTTGTTAGCCTTAGGTGAGAACACAGTGAATATTTTGAAATCTGGAGTAAACGCGTACCCTGTTAGCAGTGGAAAACATTTTACAATTTAGTGCAGTTTTCTACTGATGTTCGTATATTGGATGATCACAGCATAATAAGTTTATAATTGTTATATGACCTATTTCATATTATATGTTATATGACCTATATTCATACTGTTAGTCATACTCTTTCAGATTGGTCTGTGCCTAGCAGGATGTCATAGTCACAAAAAAGATGTGCCAAAATATAAGCTTTTAGAATAAGAGCAGCTTACATTACTGTTCAGGGTAAAACACATTAATGAAACAAACAAAATCTTTCTTGGTCTTCAGCAGATTGTAAAGCTGCAGTTGCAGTTGGCATAGCATTAGTACACTTTTTCACCCTCTGTTTAATGTTCACCAGTTAAAGATTCAGAACAACAATCATTTGTTACTGGGAGAGCTGTTGGTAGCAGACACCATTTGCTAGATCCTGCATGATCCTTCTTGCTGAAGAAAGGAGAAGAGAACCCAGGCAGATCTACATCTTGCCTTCTTCCAGCAGGGCCATTGGCTGTGCTCCCTGACTCCGCGCAGACTGACTAGACTCCTTCCTTGAGCCTATTCTGCCACTGGATTTCCTATTTTTCTTTCTTTTTTTTTTTTTTTTTTTTTTTTTTTTTTTTTTTTTTTTTGTTTTTAAGTCTATAGTAAGCGATGAAAGAAAGGGAGCCCGAAGGAGACCAACAGTGGTGGCTGGGCTGAGCGGTCATCCATTTTCTCAGTAAAGTACCACCATTTTCTGTATAGCTGGGGACAGCCCTCAGTTCTTCATTCTAAATATCACTGTTGGCATTTCACCTGTAATACCATTTCCAGTACCCCAGGACTCCCAAATCCCAATGTCCGTCCTGAGACAAAGCAGTTGCCTAGGGCTGCTGCCACCAGAACATTTCCCTTGCCTTGCTGTCCTCTCATGCCTCTAAATCCCATGTTGGTCTATGAGAAGGTGATGGTCAGACTGTGTTGGGAGTGAAGGAGAATGAGAAAGTTGATGATGCTCTTGTCAAAATAATCAGCATAGTCTTATCAGCCCTGCCAACCTTCATTGTCATCTTTAGATTGCCATTTTCAGATGGTGACCATCTTCTTAGCATATTTTCCTCCCTGTATCAAAATGTACCTAAGATGCCAGGTCTGTTATATCAGATTAGGATTGAAAGGAGCTAGTGCTCAGTGATACACGTGTGTAGGCAGTATAAAGTACCTGTATTTGTGACCTGATAAATCATTTCTACAAGTCTAGAGCTAAGAGGAAAAAAAAAGTACCTAAGTGTAGTATTAGCTAGGGGGAAATCTTGCATTGTCTATTCATTAGCACAGTATACTGCCCAGAAAGTACCTTAATCTCTACTGAAGATGTTCAGATTTGCTGCTTGCTTTACTTTTTCAAGATCATTGCATTGTTCTGTTGGTACTGCAGTAATCAGCTGGCTGCTGGTCCTAATTTCTGTGTTTATGGCAGGGATTGAAGCATTGATTTTCGTCATCGTAAGTGGAGGAACGCTTGTGCAGAACTTGAATAATGGAAATAACTTTCTTTGTTGCTGCCACAAGTTCAGTTTGAGACAGGGATTTCCATCAACATCCATCTGCTGTGCTGTTTGAGTGCTTGGCTTATGGCTACAGGCATTTTGTGGATTAATTCTCTCGTAATTCTTGTGCTGCTGTTAGCAGGTGAACAAAAACTTGGATTGGTCCGAATTTTCTAACCATCGGACCATCAAGTATCACATGTCAGTGCCGCTGATGTATCACATTTTTCTTGGTGTTTGAGAATAAAAGATCCAATAAAGTGGTTTTATTGTAAATTTATTCTTCTCATTTCAGCCAGATGAGATGTTCTTGGTGCAGTCTTCACATGCTTTTTGAAAGGACTGTATAATATGTAATTGTAGGTTAAAAATACATCATACAAATGTGAGTAGTTACACACAGCACTAGAGATTTTGAGGTTCTATTTCAAAAATTATACATACATACCTCTAGAAAGCATATATTATGTGTGCAAGTTCCCATGCAGAGTTCCCACAGGTACTGTGCAGGCAGGGACTTAGTCTGGAGATTATTTGTGAAAATAAGGTGTAATCAGGGAGAAGAAATGGAGTCTGGGGTGTTCATACGGAGTTACTGTCAGAAGAACATTGAGGAGAAAGCTTTAGCATTTTAATTTCAGTCCTAAATTTAAATAAATATGGGACTGATGCAGGACTTGTATTTACATGGCAAGACACTGCACCTTGCTGAAATTCAGTAGCATTAGGCATAAACAGACAAGGAACACTTCAAAACATGTGGCACAGCTATGATACTGCTACGTACACTTTGGTCTGATTTACAGAAGTTCTGAGGGCTCACAGCAACATTGGAACATGCTAGGAGATATCTTTATGCCAGGACCTTTACAACCCTGCAAAGTGTTCTTTGTAAACCAAAGCTCCTATTTCTTTCTAATTGGACATTCAAAGTTAGATGCAAAAATATTGCTTGTTAAGGTAATGTTACTCAGCATTGCAATGAATGAGACAGTAAGGTCATTAAGACTGCTGTATAATTTTGTCTTTTTTGAACATATGAGTGCTTGTCTTTGCAATTGTAATCGTTATTTTAGAATGATTGAAATGTGTGTGATTTGGTTAAATTTGATACTTTTTTTTTTTTTTGCTGCAGGGGAATATTGTTTATGAAGTTTAGGTAAAAGGCTTTTTGATTACAGCTCCTCTGTGCTTATGTTACTGGCTTTACATGGTTCAGTCTGGGCGATAAGACAAGTCCTGAGAGAACAGAAGTTCTTGTTCTTTACAAAAACACAGAATAAATGCATACAAATGGATTTAACTTTGATGCTGCTGACTTCTTATCTTGGGGAAGAGATTCAGGATGGACCATTTATTGCCTTGATGTTTTGGATAATCTGAAATTGGTTTACAGATTGGATGACCGGGGAGATTATATTTAGTCTTTTTCACTGAAGGAGAAAAAAGCATTTTCTAATTATGGGGGGGCAGTCTCACTGAAATGCAATGTTGCTTGAAGTGAGAATAGTAAGAGCAGACTTGGAGAGGAGTTAACCTTAAATGAACTGAGTGTTCACATGCCTCCTCCAATTTTGCAATCATCTTTGGAAGATGGGATGTATGAAACTAATTGGGGCATATGAATCTGTAGTAAAATTTCCATTACTTCTGTCAGAAGGCAGGTTTTGCCACTAGAAAAAGGGTAAGTTTATAAGATCAAAAAATGGCAGTATTTACATTCTGATAAGATCTCAGCTGTAAACTTGAGTAAAGCAAAGTTTGTGGGGAGGGGCAGTCAGTTGATTAGAATATGAACATGGAGTTGAAGTGGGGATGCAGAATGACACAAACCTTCAGTCACATAAGCCTTTCTTTAGTTTTCGACTTTAAACACTTTGAAATATTTCTTTCTCATGCTTTCCCCCCACTTCCTAACCCAGGACACAAGGAAAAGAATTGAGTCTTGATGCGTATTTTGGACTATACAGAGCTAATATTGCAAGTCTAGAACAGTTGTAATGAAGTCTTTGAAAAAGTGATTTTATGCCAGCAAGGTTCTTTGTTTGTTGGAAAATAATGTGTTGGATTTATTTGTTATTCTCCATTGGCTTGAATTAGCTTAGAAAGTTAGACCGTGATGGCTGCAACAACACTAAAATAAATTAAATGGGGAGACTTCTACTAAAGTTTTTAATTTTCTTGTTCTTCAGGACAGTGGTGATTATCCACTTACCATGCCTGGGCCACAGTGGAAGAAATTTCGATCCAACTTCTGCGAGTTCATTGGAGTGCTCATTCGACAGTGTCAGTATAGCATCATTTATGATGAATACATGATGGACACTGTGATCTCTCTTCTGACTGGTTTGTCAGATTCCCAGGTCCGGGCTTTCAGGCACACCAGTACATTAGCTGGTAAGTAAGCTAGCTCAGAGGAGAGGTTTTTTTTAAAGGAGTTGGTACTATTTAGCCAGTCTGAGAATTACTCCTAATTTTGATTGAGGTGGAATTTGACCAACACTGAGAACTCTGGAAAGCTTGATCAAATCCAAGTACTATGTATGGTATAACTATACTTAGAATATGCTTTTTCATTTGGAAAGGAGTATGCTGAGGCACTTAATCTCAGAGATTCATGACATACCCAGGGCCTCCAGTGAATCCTATGAATCAACAGTGGCATGCTTAGGTCTTGTATTTTGTTATTAGTTGTTCATTTGTTGTATAGAGTGTCTTCATAATTTTGTACTTTAGAGTACAAATTTATTCTAAATATTGTATTATCAAAGAATTTCAGTCCACTGAAAAATAAAATCTGTGCCTTCACTCTTGGGAGCACTGAGTGCACTCCCATAGTTGTAGGTCTCGCTGTCTTCTTACCTCCAGCCACGCTACACCTTTCAACACAGCTGCCTACATCTAAGGAAAGCACTGGGTATCTCATTAGATAGAAATAAACTTTTCTAGAATGTATTTAATCAGATCTATATAAGATGACTCCTATAAGATGGATGAATTGCTCTCTAGAAGTAACTATTTTATCTCCAATTGCAAAGCAATACTAGGGTGGCTAGCTCGGATGTAGGTATCTAAAGCTAGTTACGTCAGGTGATATCTTTCTGCTCATCTCTTGTGCCGAAATACATCTTAGTGGAAGATTCTTCTCCCTAGACTGTTCATAGATCCTGCCAAATATTTGAAGCCTTTATAAGAGACATTTGTCATCTGAATACTTCTACTGCCAATATTTCATCCTAATTTAGTTAGTCTTTCCACAATCAGCCTCTTACAATTTTGTTCAGGTTTCCAAGTGTAATACCCAGTGTCCAACAAATTCAATCAGAATTTTGTTTAATATTTCATCTCTTGCTATGAATCTAAATAAGAGGCAGATTTCCAGTGGTACTGGAAAACCAACTCCAGATTTGATTGGAGTTTGTTTTTAAAACTGAAAAACAAAACTTAAAACTCACAGTGGCTGATCTCTTTTGGAAACCTATCCCTTCACATTCTTCACCTTACTTGGCAATGGGATAGTAAAAACATGCATTATGCAGGCGTGAGTTTCCAGGTTTAGAGTTTGCCTCTACAAATTCAGTATTCAAAGGTGAACATACTTTGAACTGCAGATAACCTGCTGGAAATCTGTGCCTATTATTTAATCTGAGATGGAAACTCTGTTCCTTTCCAGCTGGTATTGACAATCTTCAATTCCAGGTGATTTTGATTTGCTATTTGCTTAGATTGTCGTTGCTTGTTTTATAGGAGATAGATCATGGACTGAGGATAATCATGTATGCAGTCTGGTCTCTTATTTTGATTGGATCATCTTTGTGTGGGACAGGTGTTTGAGAGGTTTGATTGAAAAGACAGGAAACAGCACTATACATTAGAGTCGTTACCCAAGACCTGTGCTATGTAGAAGAAATAGTTGCTATCATTTGGAATGGATTATGTAGCTAGAAACTTCAAGAAAGGATAAGCAAATGTGAAAGCCAAGGTTCACCAGAACTAGCTTCAGTTATTTAAGCCACTGCTGGCTTCTTGCATTAGATGTACATGTATCTTGCGCTTACATTGGGAATAAGAGCTGCTGAAGATCATTTTCCAGTGATAATGCATGCCATTTATTTATTTTAACACACAGGAGAGTTCTGTTTTGATTCTGCAGATTTCCTTCAAGCTATTTTTTGCACATTTAATTATGTTGCTGTCCTGCAGAGCAGAGGTCAGCATCATGCTGTGGAGCTCAATCTCGATAAATATTACGAAAATCTACTTGTAGAATTTCATTTATTCATGAAGGAGTGTTTCTGTTGTCTGTGTTTTCAATTTTCCTCTGTGCTAGCCAATTTGAATGAGAAATGATTCGCTATAGCAAGAAACAAAGGGAAGAAGTAGGTATGGGTGCTTCTAGAGCTACCAGCTTTGAGCAATAGCAAGATCAGACACAGTTACCATAGGAGTAGCTTCACTTCTCCATTTGTATAGTTGCTTTTCTACTTTGAAGACTGTGCTGTGTATTTAGCCAGAGAGGCTGTGACAGTTTGTGATATGCAATGTAACCACACAGAACATGGGAAAGACCCTTGTTAATTTTTTTGTAAACACAAATTAAGACAGAAAAATATACATGAACAGTATTCTATCCAGCATGTGTGAAAATGCATATAAAGGGGTACATAAAGTTCTAATTGTATTTTTATTCAAGTATACACTTGACTTTACAGCAATGTCAGACTTACTTTCAGAGAAACAGTGCTGTGGTCCCTTGTGAGCTGACTAATCTTCAGTAGCTATTGGTTAAGAGTTACCCTTAGTATGGAAGCATCTATTATAATACTTAATGGTTCTTAGTAGAGAAATGTATGTAACTCCACAGTAACTGGCTTTGTGGTGCACACTGATCCTGCAGATTCACATGCTTGCTCACTGACCTTATGCTCTCAGAACTTGAATGGTTTTCTGGAGAAGATGGCAAAGAACATTGCTTGGAGCTCAGTGCGGTATATATACCTCTCTTTTTTGATCTTTAGATGAGCCAAGTGGCCTGAGTATTGCTTGGGTGGGAAGTGCCTTTCCAGATGGCTTTGTGTCAGGGTCGAGTTGGTTATTTTCTGTGAGTATGGATCTGCTGAGGCAGTATTTTTTAACTCTGACTACAGGTAAAGAGTCATATTCTGTCTTCTGCCTTTGCAGCTATGAAGCTTATGACTGCTCTTGTGAATGTTGCCTTAAACCTGAGCATTCATCAGGATAATACACAGAGGCAGTATGAAGCTGAGAGAAACAAAATGATTGGCAAAAGAGCTAATGAAAGATTGGAGCTGCTGCTTCAGAAAAGAAAAGAGGCAAGTGAAAAGATGAATCTTTTTTCCTGGTTCATGTGCATTCCCTCCAACAGAAAGTCCTGGGTGGCTTGTGACTTGAGTATCATAGTGAGAAACAAGAGATTAGTTCTGCAGTCATGTTTGTGTGATCTCAAGTGTATTACTTGGGCTACATTTTTAAATCTTGTATTAACACATTGAGTTGAGTTTTTTGTGCTGTTCTGCACGCACAGGGTAATTTCTATTCTCAGGCTTGCATATATGACCAGACAGGAGGAAAATTAGTAGTAACTGTTTTGGTTATGCAAAAAGATTTTGAAAAGAGGATCACATGTAGTCCCTCACTGCACTGCCCATTTGTCCCTTTGATCACTGCAATTATTACATAGTGTCTCATTAGTACTTCTTTTTGTAGCTGCTTTCAAGAAACACTGGAGTGGGGGCTATAGCACCTGGTCTCAGGGAGAAGAAGCTAGGGAGACATTAAAGTCGCTTTTAGTAAGTACCAGTCGGGCATTAGGTGAGCAAAATCATTAGAAGGTTGCTGTAATCATCCCTATATAAAGTATTCTATCCCAGGAAATTCAGTTTTAGAGTTGTACTTAAAAGAAATTTAAAGATGACGAGTAGAAAATGAATAAATATATACACCCAAACAGCCATAATCTGTAAAGATGCCATGTAAAACTCATAAGATTGATTGAAAAATCGAAGTATATATGACTTAGATATAAATTTATTATTTTTAATATATTAGTTTTGAATATATTTCCACCACCACTGTTTTACTCCATGGCAAATTAAGGATGTCTGGGTGCTTTACCTGTATGCGCCTTGGATTCTTTTAGGTATAACTTTGACTCAAAATTGTTTGACTTTATAGTCTTTGTCTGGGGATAATTACAATTATGTATTTTTGTTTTTATTTTACCCCTGCAATCCATAACACAATTTTATTTGGCTTTCATAATTCTTAAAAATTATCCATTAAGTTACAGAGCAAGAACAATCTTTCCTGCCCAAACTGCAAGGGAAACAAATTAAATATTAAATTCAATGTCAGCCTTAAAGCATTTTAAAAAGCAGAATTGCTTTGTCAACATAGCTGGAGCACAGTTTCTCTTCCAAGTTTGTTAATTGTTGCTTTGAATTTCCAGAGAAGGACAAAGTTACTAATTACATTGATTAACTTGGTTTAGTATTTCTGTGTCTATGGACGTCCTCTATACTCATTCCTTCAGCTGTTCTTTTCAATGTCTTTTGGAGATGCAGTATATAATTGCTCTGGGGAGGCTCCGAAGCAGTGATGCCCAGGCTACCATGGGGCCATGAAACCCTGAAAGAAGAACACGCATTTGACAAACCTTAACTTTTGCTATGAATGTTCAGTCTCTCTCATGTCACTACTAATCAAAATGTTGCATAGGAGTAAGCCGGAAAGGAGCGGTGGTGATCGAGTGCGTCCTCAGATACATGGTGTTAAACATAGTAGAGGACCCTGTCCAGAAGACGTTTATTAGGATTAGATGGCATAATGGCTCTGTGCAAGAATTCTTAACATAATGCTATGTATTTCCCATGCTTAAATATGCTAAATTTACAATAAATAGTATTCTGTGCTGACACTTCCTTAGCTGATTCTTTTGATGTAATGCCATCATAATAAACCCTCATAAGCACTTACATAAGCATTTGTTTATCTTCATGAAGATAAACACAGGGACGGTTCGCAAGCTAAGTGTGGCAAATTAACCTGAAGTAGAAGAGATGGAATGCTCTCTGAAGTGTTTCATTCTCATGTAACCTTCTACATGTCAAATGTGAGAGCAGTGCATGAAGGTCTGTTCTTGTCAATGAGATGTTCAACTAAACTGGATGGTTTATGTAACAATCTGCCACAAAATAGAGGAAGTTGTGGTTTAGTTTCTGCCAGTAGTAATTCAAATTTTGGGCTTGTCATACGAGTCTTTTGAGCTACTCAAAATGCTCACAGAGTCAACAAGAAAATGTTTCTCTTATTTTTATGTAAGTTTAAGGGGGGTAGTGTTAAATCACTTTTGCACTGATAAGAGCAGGAATCCGGGGACACAAATGCTCTCTCAAGGTGCCTTGAAGTTAAGCACTCAAATTCAAGTACATGATCTAGAAAAGCTGAAAATGTAAAAAACAATTACAGTTTTGGAGAAAATTCATATTTTTCAAAGAATTGTTAATTCATTACTGACTCTAAAATATATTTGAGAATTTTCTTTTAAATGTTAGCACACAAAAGTAAAAAGGATCTCACATGGACCTACTGAATCTCTGATTCTGCTTCTACACCAGCCACCAGCTCTACCCCCAGCACCTGGATCCCTGTATCAGTTATATAGCCAATAACGTGCCATGTTTATAGCACGCCGTAAATTCCATGCAGAAAAAGAGGGAGGAAGCCATCCATGCTGTCCCCTCATCTATGCTGTTTAGTCTTCTGTTGTGCTGCTCCATTTTGCACTCAAAGAGATGTCAAAGCACACTTTTCTTCAGTATCTTAACCTTCTCATGGCTCATAAAGTTTAGTCTCTCCTACCTCACTTCTGTGGTGTGTTAACGATTCATACCCAAAATTCTCCAGGAGTTTCTCCTTTCCCTTTCAGGCCCTCAGTAGTTTTTCTGTCCTGAGGCTTTTTGGTTCATTCTGATCCTCATTTTACTCCACAGTCTGTGCTAGGTTATCTCTAGCCCCATGTTTCTGTGGATATTTGCCTGCCTGTAGCCTGTGAAGTCAACCAACTGAGGAGTGCTTAGAAATTAACGCTCCATTTTGGCTTATGTCTTCTTGAACAAGCATTTATTCTGTGCCTGTTTGGGTTGAGCTGATGCTGAAAGTAGTGCTTCTCCCAGAAGCAATGTCTAAATATGCTTGTTTTGTGTACCAGCCCTTTGGTATATGCAGAGCTGGTGTGCACGCAACTTTTCCCTTTTGTACATAATCCCTTTTACAATGAAATTAATTTCTTTGACAGATGTTTGACAATTTAGTCAAAAACTCTCAATGCCTCGGTTTCCCCATATGCAAAAAGGAGACAGCACCTCCTTGCATTTTAGGAAACTGGGAGGCTTCATTTACTGAATTTTGCAAGCTACCTTAGATCTTATCTAGAAGAAATAATGAAAAATATAAACCCGTAGGTGAAAGTGTTTATGAGCTCATGCTATGCAGGAAGTCAAAACAGCTGATTGTAGTTCTGCCCCTGGCTTTAAGATGTTTCATCTGTTAAATATATTTGTCCATAATTACACAGGTTTTATTATTTTATACATATATGCACTCTGTACTAGCAAGGCTCTGTTGTGGTTTTCATACTGAAAATGTGGAAAAATTTACATTCACATACATGTTACTCTGCTTTGATATTTTGACATTAAGAAACACCTTGATGGAAGAATGATGGCTTTGACTGTAGCAGCAGTTCTGCTCCAAAAGCTGATTGTATAGAATTGGTGTCATCTTCTTTAACAAAGCTGCATTTTGGTGTAATTAAGTCATACTTAGTTTAGAACAAAAGTACAAAAGTATGAGAATACTTTAATTAATTCCAAGATGTTCCTTTAGGGCATGTTAACATACTCACTGACACATAGTAGGCTTTCCACAGTACTTACAGAATGTCCTTGTATTACACAGGAAATACTAAGGGTTTTTTTTAAAAAAATCTTATTTATAAAAACATGCGCATAACACCTTTTTCATCTGGGTTTGGGTTTTGTTTGGTTTTTTGCAATCTAAGGCCTCGATGTCAGGTGTGCCTCAATGTTAAATGCCTGTGCTCTGATTCTGGAAAGCTTCCTGGTTCAGAAGTTCAGTTATCATGGGCACTGAAGTTGAAGCAACTGACACTCGTACTTGAGATTTACAACATCTTTAAGTACTTTCCTTAAATAGGACATCGAATTTTTCAGAGGGGATTCCAGACCTGTAACCAGCTTCATTGCTGCCGCTGTCATTCACTCACAGTTCTATCTGTTTAACTATGATTACAGGACTGCTGACATTACTGAACAGAGTCTCTACTTGTCTAAATTTCAGCAAAAAAATGGTGATGACCACTTCAGAGGATTAATTTGAAACTAAATCAACTGATGTTTGTAGAGAATGTTAACTTTCTGCCATTAAGGCATTGCATATATGTATGTATATGCACATAATACAGGCATGTGCTGGAAAAGTAGAAAATGGTGGATCTACCTTTAATTAAGTGTTCTTCCATGGTCTTCTAATGTTGTAGAATATCAAAGTATAATAAGCAGTTGATCTTTTATTTATTTTTGTTCTGTTTTTTGCAGCTACAAGAAAACCAAGATGAAATCGAAAATATGATGAACTCTATTTTTAAGGGTATATTTGTTCATAGATACCGGTAAGAAAATGCATGCTACAGTAGGCTCTGCTAACAAAGTATAATCATAAATAATGTCAAGGGCAGTTTCTGTGTTGATTTTTCTTCTGATGTAATATTCTAGATGCCACAAAGGCAGTATCAAAAACACTGAAGTTATGGAAGAAAATCTAAGTGTAACTCCAATTAATTGCACAGTAGAGCCATCCACCAACTTTATTTTAATTCAGTACAACAGTTTTAAGGAGTTGTGGGAGACATGGAATTTGAATCTTTGTCTTTTAAAAAGAAAAGTTGTCCAAGGTGGGAGCACAAACATGACATATCTTAAGAATAATCAAATGGCCAGTGCATATCATAAGAGGGAAGTTTTGGTTGTTGGGTACCTCTACTCTGCATTTCCTTTTGTAGGTCTTAAGTGTAAACAGCAGATTTCTGATGTTTCCACCACTTCAACTTTGTTTCAGGCTTTTTACTCCTTAAATTACCTAAGGGCAATCAAAGCCTTTATTCCAGTTAACATGTATTTTTTTGTTTGTTAAATGTTTTGGACATTTGTACCAAGAACATGAAAAAGTTATTGTGGTGTTAGCACATCACAAAGGTTTCGTTTAGTAGTTAATATGCTATGTCTTGTGAATACAAAACCACAGTAGATTATATATATTCATGTGCATGCCTGAATGTGTGCATGCATGCACTTCTATTTGCTTTAGAATGGCACAAACCAGTAGTTTTGGACTGGTGCGTGCTGTTTTGGAGTATGGTTTATCAGAGAGCAGTAGTCTTTTAAAGTACAATCAGGGTTGTTTTGCATCACAAGGTACCTCATATCATCTGCAGCATCTTGGTGAAACCAGCTCTTTAAATGTTAATTGACTTCTCAAAGTCAAAAGATCAAATTCAAGGATGCTAAGCTATGCAATTAACCTTTCAGATTTAAGTTCTGGTTTAAAACTTTACCATTTATGAAATCTTTTAGACAAATGGCAGAAAACAAGAAAGGGTGTATGAGAAGAGGGTTAGAAGGTGACGAGGAACCCATAGTTCAGGTGGGCAGAGGGACTATTGTTATTATGGAGAAAAGTGCAGGAGTGCTGGAAGGGGCCTGTGCTAAGGAATACATTGGTGTGAACAACACGGCGGAGTTGGGGCATGTCTCCACACTACCTGAGCATGATATTTGAAAGTTTATAGATGTACTGAGAGCATCTCTCCAAGGAGAGGTAGCAGCAAAAAGGAGTCTCTTAAGAAGACAGGGGTTCTAAGTACGGTAATTGCTCACAAAAGAACCTCTTTTCTTGCATGCATACGTCACACTTCTCTTTTTCTTCGGACCTTGTATCCTTACTCTGTCCCACACACCTGTAAGACAACTTCATTTGCTATCCATTTGTTTCTTCCCTCCTGAGGAAGTGATAAAGGAGAGATGGTGAACTGAGAGGGTCTGAAAGGTCTGCGAGGAAATGGAATTGGTCAGTAAGCCTTGAGCTACATGGCAAAAGAAGGATGGGTATACAGAGTCAACAGGTAAATTGGGATATTAGCTCAGTTATAGCACTCATGCTATTTTGTCATGAAAGCTTCTTTCATGGAGTGTAGGTAATAAAGTTAAAGAAATTAAATGCAAACAGTTTTTCCATTTTTCCCCTTCAGGATTTAGTGTATTGTATCAAATGAGAAGTCACTTTAAAATGTTTTCCTAGTAGCTCATGCTCTTGTGTGGGGTTGGAAAAATACCTTCTGATGGTCTGCATGCTGTTGCCTTTTTTTTCTTTCTTTCTTTTTAAATCCTCCTTTTGTAACCCTGGTTTCTTTTCATACCTTCTGCCACCATTAGTAAAGGCCTGATTTTGCTGATACTGCTGTAACAAAGGAGAGGCAAAATAAAGAAACTCTGCTGATTCATGCCCTGAAGAAAGATGCCCAGGCTGATGCTGTTAGGCCAGTGAAGAATTTGCTGAAATCAGTCAAGCAGTGGTGTGCTCTGAGCAGGGTGTGTGGCACCACTTCTGCCACTGTTTAGAGAGGGTCAGAAGAAGTAACTGCTTCCAAGTCTGCCCCCCAAGAGCTACTTTTGTGAGGAGTCATCGTATATCTGGGTTTCTTAACTTCTGTGAAGCTCCTAAGAGAGTCTTTTACAACATATACCCGAATATGAGTAATCTGTAGACAACAGAGAACATAGTTTCAAATTTCTGCAGTCACATCTGCGAAAGAACATAGAGAGGAAAAAAATACCTATATTAAAACCAGCTAATTGAAAACCAGGGATGGGGGGGAGAAGAAAGGAAAGGATTTCGAACTATTGTCTGCTTCCATAATGTTTCTTAAGCATTCCTTCTCTCAAATAGTTTGAATGATTTATAAACTTGACATCATTTTACAGTCCTTAGCCCATGCACAAGTGGTAATGATTTCAAAAGAACGTTATTTTAATTATTCCCAGAGAAGAAATCGCTTTCCATAATATGATTCAGACTCTGCCACAGTGATTCATGCTCAGTGACCTTTGTAACGTAAATAGCAAGTCCTTGATCTAAACAAAAAGTCCCCCAAAACTGTTTCATTCAGAATGTAGCTGTCTTCCCACTAGTAAGCTAGGGTTGCAGTGAGGTTACATGTTCTTTCCATAGATTGCCTTCCAATTTATTGAAAGATTTGAGTGCTCACTTCTCACATTAAAAAAAAAAAAAAAAAAAAAACTTGAAGAAAA